TCTCTCCACACACACACACACAACGTTCTCTCTCTGCACCAAGGAATTCTCCAGTCCCGTCTCCTTCTCTGCCTGTTACAAGCTCTTTTAACACTCTTGTCTTCGCCCTCGTTCTGCTCACTGCCTTTCATGTCTTTGGAATCTTTGGAGTACACTCCCCGGTCTTCCCTTCTGTTCTTATCCCAATAGACTGTACCTCCCAGACCTGCGTTTGCATCTTCTCTTTCTTCATGCCCAGTCCTGTGATTCCAATGACTCACATCCCAATTATCCTCATCGTCATCCTCGTCATTGTCATCATGATCACCAGCACCGTTTTGAGGTCCATTATGGTCATCATCATCATCATCACCATCACCGTTTTCGGGTGATTCCAAGGATTCCAACAATTTGTTATCACCGTCATTATAGCCTTCCCCAGTTATATCACCATTATTGTCATCATCATCATTAACATCATCACTAGTATCATCATTATCCTCATTAACTCCCCCCGAACTGTGAATAGCACCCCGTCTATTGCTCAGATCGGCATCGTTCGCTCTCAATACCTCTCCCTCACTGTTTTGAGGGAGATGGCACTGCCCTATCACACAGAACCATCTCAGTTCACACCCACAGTTCAAGCACAGCACATTCAACTCCATCAGAATCCCGGTTTCTTCAAAATATCCTTAATCTGCCAGAGCTCCTGGCTTTTCCAAAGAATCTTTCCTGACAACGGTTCCTCGCTGCCGCTGCCTCTCATATTCGTTCTTGCAGCTGCCGCTTTCTGAGATTGAAGTTCCTCCCCCGCGCCACTCCTGATCGCCTGCCCTTGGTGCCGTATATGCCGTACGTGGGGTCTTCAGCTCTGTCCCGTCTCAGATTCAAGCTGCTGCCTGCATAACTTGACGCTGTGATCATGATAACTCTGCATGCTGTCGGATCCTCTCTTTGCCTTCCTTATCTCCCTCGGTATCAGAAGGCGATTATTTCCACCTTCTCTCACGTCGTCACCACACCCGTTGAAACTGAAAGCCCCACGATTTCTCCCTCTGTTCCGTTTTCCTTTCTGTCTCGCCGTCGGGCGCTTTCTCCCAACGGCCCAATATCAAGATCTGAGATCTCCCACTGTTCCCCCTTCTTACACTGTCCCCTCTATCTCACCGTTTGTTGCTCCTTCCAATGGCCCAATAACAAGATACGAGCTAGCCCTTCATTCGTTTGCAAATTCTCCAACGGCCGCCTGAACTGTAACCCTTCTCGCCACAAGTGTGTGAATCTCAGGGCGCTTCTCCTTGCTTGACGATAAAAACGACAGATGACCTCTGCTCCAGCTCCTGTTTCTTCCACCCCCCGTCAGCATTAGTTTGCGAAACGGTATGTTCCATGGGAAGCACGCTGCTACCAGCGTTCTTCGGCTTTAAGTGTTCGACATAATCATCAGTTCTCCACGATTAAACTAGCTAGGCACCTCCATCCCTAAAGCCTGCCAAACTATGCCCATCCCTGGGATAAGCTCATCTCTCTTGTGCTCTACTACCTGTGAGTCGACCGCTAAGAGAGCCGCCTCCTCCGTGCTTCGCGCTCCGGGATATGGCGGTTAAGCTCCGCGCCAGAAACCCTATCCGCGCAAGCGCACGTGTCCCGGGCGTTGAGCGCTATGGCGCCGCTACCCGGTTCGTCCCCTTCCGTTCTAGATTTCGTTACTTGGGCGTAGTAAACAGCAGAATGCTACGATACTGTATTTCTGGGACGATGCAGTAGAAGAGAAAAAAAACAAAAGCGGAAACGACCCAGACCCAAATCGCCCGCCCAGACCCATATCGCCCGCCCCCAGTTTGCAACGGGAAAAAACTATATCTCTCAAAAGGGAAACAATGGAAGGTGCCCTATACTAAATTGCAACGACCTTGACAAGATAACCTGCCCTACGACCGGTCTTGGGGACGACTGCGACCGGACCCTATTTTCTGCTGTTGGAGACCCCAAACGAACCCGTCCTAGCGAAGTTGTACTGCACGACCTTACCAAAAATAGAAAGAAATGAAACGACGAAAATGGAACCAACACAAGCGCAGCCTCCTGGCTGCCAACATATACATGTTGTCTAGGGGCCCCTGAGGACACGTTCCTCAAACGTACCTGAAGCATGCACTAGAAAAAAAGTTTTCTTTTCTTTTCTTTTCTTTCTCCTTTTTTTTTTCTTTTTCGTTGACGAGTGTTTTTTTTTTTTTTTCCTTGCCTGTGTACTTGAACCGTGCACGAGTATTAATGAAAGAAACGTTAAAGTTATGATAAAAAACTCGGCCGATCAGGCCAGGGCATTCCACTGGGGGCGTTTCCATTCTTTGTACAGGACCCCCTCAGGCCCAGTTTCCCAAATCGTGTTTGATAATGCCTTGGGCACTGGGCCCGCAAAAAAGAAGATGTGCGAGAGAATGAGAAGGGACTGTTGCATACTAGTGAATACTTCACCAAGTATGGGCAGAACCAAAGATGAACCAATATAGGATGAGCATGTATGCAGCGGAAGTCTGGGGAATGGACTGACTCCCGTAGACTGGACTCGTTCAGATATCACTCAACACACAAGCAATTGTGAGATGGTGGGGTCTGAAGCCAATCATAGACGATGCTCAGGCCCCATACAACCATACACAGATGAAAGGTGGGAGGAGAGACGATGGAGGTGGGAGATGGGGACAGCGCCAGATGTCACCGAGATAGAATCCAGAAGGTCACCAATATGGTAGGCAAAATGTCACCGATCAAAACCAAAATGTCGTGGACATGAGTCACCAATGTCGGAGGTACAGTATACTAATGTAACCGGTGTCCAATCTGTGATGCTGCCGAGTATCAATCCCAACTATCTCCAAGGTCTCGAATCCGGTAAGTATCACAGCCCCTTACCACCGATGTCCAACACTGATCTTTGTCCAACTCTTAACAAAGTCTCCAATCGGAATAAGAAGGAGAAGAATAAGTCTGAAGAAGAAACAGAAGAAGAAGAAGAACAAGAGAGAAGAGGGAAGGAGAAGAGATGGCGCCTTGGCTGCTGCAGAGGACGGCGGAGCAGCTGGGAGCTATGGCGCTCGTAGCTGCTGGTCAGGTAAGTCTCTCCTCCTCGCTCTCCCGTACTGCAGTGCGCTAAACTTAGCGCTGCAGTTCCAGCGTTGCGCTGAACCCAGAATAGCGCAGCGCGGTCGCTCCTCAATGCAGTTACTCCCTACCTGCAGGAATGGCCGCTGGACCGGCCTAAGTACCGTCCGGCAGCCGGTCGGCCTCAATGCTGGCCTCCTGCGTCGTGGGCCGAACCGGCGAAATGACCGTTCAGCCCAGACCGGCGGGCGGCCGCCTCAAGAGCGCCGCCAGGCCCAAACGGTCATGTCGTTTGGGCCAACCTGGGTCTGCTGGCGCTGAGGCCCAAACGGTGGCCTAACAGGGCCTACCGGGAGAAAAAGGCCTGGCCTTTGGCGAGGCCGGTCTGGGTACCCCTGACCCGGTATGTCGGGTCTGTGAAGGCCCGTGTGAAGTCGCAGAATGTAACAGGGACAGAGAAGACAGAGTAGTGTGAATCCCCCCAGCGCAATCAGCTCATTGATTCTTTTAAGCCCAACCAATTCAATTACCTGTCAAATTTGGACAGGACGACCTTTCATGCCTTTTTTTATTGTCATTATATGACGCCGTTGGCTTATTGTCATTATATGACGCCGTTGGCACAAGCCAACGGCCACAGTACCTTGTGCCACGCCATGCTGGCATCCCCCCCTCTGATGTGTTGGACCCAAGTTCGATTCCCATCAGGGAATCGAAAAAAAACTGGGCCATTCCTCGATTTGTGTGCGTCATCCTTGAGCAGGGGCCATGCTGTATCCGCGCGGTCATTTTCGGCTGCGAGATCGTTAGATGGCCGTGAGATCTAACGATCTCGCGGCCGAAAATGGCCGCGTCTCATGCTTGCACGGTGGGCCACTCCAAAAAGGAGCTAGGCCAAGCAGCATATTGCCAGGCTCGATCTTTTTTTTTTTTTTTTTTTTTTTTTTTTTTTTGAGACACCCCCACCAGTGATAGTGGTGCTGGTAAGAGCAGACACCACTACCAGCAGGGGGGAGGCTCCATCTATTGGTGGGGAGCATCACCTGCTGGAAACCGGGTCCAGCGTCCCTTCCCTAACTATCCTGTACTCGATCCTGGCATCTACTGGGTGGAAGTTCAGTGTGGTACCTATCGGGCAAGCTCCTATCACAAAAGTTATGCCTACCACTCTTCTATTTGAAGGGTTGTGGCCCAGTAGGCCACCTATTTCCTGGCCTAGGCAGGCGCAGTCCTGCCTTCCTCTGGTCTAGGCAGATGCAGTCTGCCTACCCCTTCCTAAGGCAGTTGCCCCGCCATCCTGTCGGCTATGCTTGATCTCGTAGGCCCGACAATCCCCCTTTAGTCATAGGTTTGCCCTTGGACCCCTGGCGGTTCATTCCTTTAGGAATGACACGAGACTTTGCCCGTGTTAGCCCTTCCCTTCCTCGCCACACCCCTAGCGCGGCTAATTTTTGGTCTTTCGTGCAGCTGTACAGCCGCGCGACCCAATTTTAGTCGAAACAATTTTCTATTTTAGCGTTTTCACTGTCGTCTCTTTATTTTGCCCCGTTTTCAGTGCAAGAGTGTCCAGTTACACCGTCTACCCTTGCCATGATGTCTGTCGGCAGGTAGATGGCTACATAAGTTAAATTTTCTTTAATCATGGATAAGTCGGAGTACCTTTCAGCAGCGTTTTCATTTCATCAAACCAATTTTTTTCAAAACAAAACTTACTTCAGAATTTTAGAAATCGTCCGACATTGAAAATACAGGGCAGATACCCTTGTCGGGGTTTATATCCCGACAGCATTCGCAGGCCGCATTGAATGACTTCCACGTCTTTCATTTTTATCTAATAACATCATATCATAGGTTTTTACCATAAAAAAACCCTGGCAAACAGCCTCCCCTTTCCATCAAGATATTTGCTCAAACTGTCGGCATGATGCCTTCCATTTCTGTGACTTCTTTCTGGATGGTTCCAGCATCTCCCCACTGGCGGCCACTCAAAATTTTGTATCTCAAAATGGTACTGGAAGCCTTCCAGCTAGATCCAAACATAGTCCATTCAATTGATACTGTATTTCTTATTCACTTGGGGAATTCCCTTAACTGTCGGGAATCTAACCCACTTCTCTTGAGTTTACGGGGATGCTCTTCACAACACCTCTGCGTACACAACATTATAAACAGTCAGGGAAAACAACAAAATAGAAATGCCTCAAGTATTTCATAGTCATTCACAAAAAACTTGCCTTTAACCTACCCCAAATGAGTCTGGATTAACCCCCGACAGGTCTTTCATAATATATCAATCTCCTGGATTTTAACCATTCATGAGAAAAATAATTCATCCACTTCTTCCTGTCATTCATCCAACAGTGTGAGCGTATCCTTTTGATACTCGACAGTATATCATGCAGGACTATAATGACTCTGATGTGATGAGCGTCGAGGAGTGGTGTAATCCTTTGAAGGATAACATCCCGACATCAAGCCCCACTTTGGATTTGAG